CCCACACACACACACACACACACACAATCACACACAATGCACCTTACACCACAAAGACAATGAACCCCTTGCACACAGAAAAACACACAATGCATTACACACACACACACGCAATGCAACCCTTACACACAATGCATCCCTTACACACACAGAAACACACAATGCATTCCTTACACACACTCAATGCACCCCTTAAACACACTCAAAGCACCCTTACAGACTCACACACTTCATCCCTTACACAGCCCTTACACATACAAAAACAGATTCACACAATGCATTCCTTACACACAAATCAGGACATCCCCTACACACTCTACCCCCTGTGAACAAACTCATTGGTGGAACATGAGAGGTGGACCCTGGGACCCAGACCTTGAGCTATGTAAAGGGCCCAAAAAATGGAGCTGCTTCTCGTTCTCCCAGAACATTGATTTTTGTGACCACAGTTACAAACAGCCTCCAGAGATCCTGTTCTACACCAGACCAGTGGAGCCAGACTGCAGCTAGAGCCCATCATCATCCTCATCTGGTTGTAAGTAGGCAATCTAGTATATTATTCGTAGCACTAATCTCTAATTTACCTCACATTAAAGAAACACTATAGTCCCCAGAACCACAGCAGCTTAATGTAGTGGTCCTGGTGTCTATAGCCTGTCCCTGCAGGCCTTTTAATGTAAACACAGCGGCACTGCAGCACTGGCGTTAGTTAACATGGCAGGTCATATGGGTGGGGCATTGTGATGTCACGGGGGGGGCGGCAAACTTTACTTTTGCCTAGGGCGGCAAAAATCCTTGCACCGGCCCTGTTCCTACACCATCTATATAAATCTTCAATTCCTTCACCATATATATATAAATCTTCAATTCCTTCACCATATATAAATCTTCAATTCCTTCACCATAGATATAAATCTTCAATTCCTTCACCATATATAAATCTTCAATTCCTTCACCATATATATAAATCTTCAATTCCTTCACCATATATAAATCTTCAATTCCTTCACCATATATATAAATCTTCAATTCCTTCACCATATATATAAATCTTCAATTCCTTCACCATATATATAAATCTTCAATTCCTTCACCATATATATAAATCTTCAATTCCTTCACCATATATATATATCTTCAATTCCTTCACCATATATAAATCTTCAATTCCTTCACCATATATAAATCTTCAATTCCTTCACCATATATATATATATATATCTTCAATTCCTACACCATATATAAATCTTCAATTCCTTCACCATATATATATATATCTTCAATTCCTTCACCATATATATAAATCTTCAATTCCTTCACCATATATAAATCTTCAGTTCCTTCACCATATATATAAATCTTCAATTCCTTCACTATATATAAATCTTCAATTCAATCACCATATATAAATCTTCAATTCCTTCACCATATATATAAATCTTCAATTCATTCACCATATATATAAATCTTCAATTCCTTCACCATATATAAATCTTCAATTCCTTCACCATATATAAATCTTCAATTCATTCACCATATATATAAATCTTCAATTCCTTCACCATATATAAATCTTCAATTCCTTCACCATATATATAAATCTTCAATTCAATCACCATATATATAAATCTTCAATTCCTACACCATATATAAATCTTCAAATCCTTCACCATATATAAATCTTCAATTCCTTCACAATATATATAAATCTTCAATTCAATCACCATATATAAATCTTCAAATCCTTCACCATATATATATCTTCAATTCCTTCACCATATATATATAAATCTTCAAATCCTTCACCATATATATAAATCTTCAATTCCTTCACCATATATATAAATCTTCAATTCCTTCACCATATATATAAATCTTCAAATCCTTCACCATATATAAATCTTCAATTCCTTCACCATATATATAAATCTTCAATTCAATCACCATATATAAATCTTCAATTCCTTCACCATATATAAATCTTCAATTCCTTCACCATATATAAATCTTCAAATCCTTCACCATATATATAAATCTTCAATTCCTTCACCATATATATAAATCTTCAATTCCTTCACCATATATAAATCTTCAATTCAATCACCATATATATAAATCTTCAATTCCTACACCATATATAAATCTTCAATTCCTACACCATATATAAATCTTCAAATCCTTCACCATATATATAAATCTTCAATTCCTTCACCATATATAAATCTTCAATTCCTTCACCATATATATATAAATCTTCAATTCAATCACCATATATAAATCTTCAATTCCTTCACCATAGATATAAATCTTCAATTCCTTCACCATATATAAATCTTCAATTCAATCACCATATATAAATCTTCAATTCCTTCACCATATATAAATCTTCAATTCCTTCACCATATATATAAATCTTCAATTCCTTCACCATATATATAAATCTTCAATTCAATCACCATATATATAAATCTTCAATTCCTACACCATATATAAATCTTCAATTCTTACACCATATATAAATCTTCAATTCAATCACCATATATATAAATCTTCAATTCCTTCACCATATATATAAATCTTCAATTCAATCACCATATATAAATCTTCAATTCCTTCACCATATATAAATCTTCAAATCCTTCACCATATATATAAATCTTCAATCCCTTCACCATATATATAAATCTTCAATTCCTTCACCATATATATAAATCTTCAATTCCTTCACCATATATAAATCTTCAATTCCTTCACCATATATATTTACGTTCACACTATGTTGTTTGTATTTTTGTGTGTTTTATTTTAGGTAACCTGTGGTACCCAAACGTATGAACATATGTTTGTATTGATATTTATTTTTGTTTATCATGTCACAAGGTTCACTCCCTTTCTGGTATATTTCTTTATTTTAGTTGATACCTCTCTCTTTTGTTAACATACTCAGATATTTTATACTTACTTACGCTCGTACTGTGCTATTTCCATTCAATAAAAGTTTGATTGAAAAAAAAAAAAAAGAAATAGCTGGAAAAGTTCTCCAAACCAGGTGTACTTCCAGTTCATCTAGTTAGACCGAACACAAGTTATTTTCATCATTATTTCTGGCATTTATATAGCACCAACCTATTCGGCAGCGCTTTATGATTTGATAAAAAGGAGGAAATTTCACAATAAATTATATCATTACAAAATGATACAGGAACAATAGGTTAATGAGGACTCTGCTCGAAAGAGCTTACAATCTACACAGAATTGACAATTTAGTGAATAAACCTGATTAAGTCAGTTGGTGATGCCGGGATCTTGATTTAAATGTCTCTTTGTTTCTCCCCCCGTACCCCTAGGTCTAGTGAATTATGAACAGGAGTAGCACATGTTGTAATATGTTAAAATGGATTTCCAGGGGTCTGTTCTATCCCCCGCTCTCCGCGCTCATTGCGCAGGTAGTATTTATTCATGAATCGTTACTTAGCCTCACGTCATAATGTTTATTTAATGTGTTTCTTGCGGTTTCCATGCAGCTTAAACAAATCTCCGGATTTATGCTAAAGTCTCTCTGCATAATGTGTTAATGTGCTCAGAATCTCTCTCTTTACACACATTCCATTAATCCAGTCCGATCGATAACATCCGGTATCAGCAATCCTGAGTTACCAATATACAGCATGATGGGAGTGGCAGTATGCAGTCAGACATTGTATTATCCCACTCTGAGCAGCATTAACTATAGGGCAGTAATAGCATCATGGGAAATGTAGTTAATTGCATCTGAATGGTTAGCAGGGGTGTGAGAGAATGATAAGTGGGGGGGCATGTGAATGGTTAGTGGGGAGGCATGTGAATGGTTAGTGGGGAGATGTGTGAATGGTTAGCGGGGGGCATGTGAATGATTAATAGAGGTATGTGAAAGGTTAGTGGGGGCATGTGAATGATTGAAGTGGGGCATTTAAATAGTTAGCATAAGGGTGTGTGAATGATTGCAGTGGGACATGTGAATGGTTAGCGGGGGGTATGTGAATGGTTAGCAGGGGGGCATTTGAATGATTGTGGGGAGCAGGGTGTGTATGAATTATAAGCGGAGGGACGTGTAAATGGTTAGTGGGGGATGTGTGAATGATTGCAATGGGGGTATGTGAAAGGTTAGCAGGGGGTATGTGAAAGGTTAGCAGGGGAACCATCTGAATGGTTAGCAGAGGGGCGTTTGAATGATTGTGGGGAGCATGTGAATGGTTAGCGGAGTAGTGTGTGAATGGTTAGTGGAGGACTTGTGAATGGTTAGTGGAAGACGCGTGAATGGTTGGTGGTGGGGCTTGTAAAGTGAATGATTAGCGGGTGCATGACAATGATTGTGGGTTGGCTTGTGAATGGTTAGTGGGGGAGTGTGTGAATGGTTAGCGGGGGACGCATGAATGGTTGGTGGTGGGGCATGTAAAGTGAATTATTGCAGTGGGAGCATGTGAACGATTAGCGGGGGCATGTGAATGGTTAGCAGGGGTGTGTGAATTATTGATGTGGGGACATTTGAATGGTTAGCAGGGTGGGGCTTGTGAATGATTGAGAGGAGAGTGTGTTAAAGACTGTGTGGCATGTGAATGATTGGGTGTGTGAATGGTTAGCAGAGAGCGTTTGAAGTGAACAACTTCAATAGGGGCATGTAAA